CTACGGATGTGAGAGCTGGGCCTTAGGGAAGGCTGAGCGAAGGAAGATCGATGCTTTTGAACTGTGGTGCTGGAGGAAAGTTCTGAGAGTGGCTTGGACTGCGAGAAGATCCAACAAGTCCATCCTCCAGGAAATAAAGCCCAACTGCTCATTGGAGGGAAGGATACTAGAGACAAAGTTGAAGTACTTTGGCCACATCATGAGGAGACAGGAAAGCCTAGAAAAGACAATTATGCTGGGGAAAGTGGAAGGCAAAAGGAAAAGGGGCCGACCAAGGGCAAGATGGATGGATGGCATCCTTGAAGCGACTGGACTGACCTTGAAGGAGCTGGGGGTGGTGACGGCCGACAGGGAGCTCTGGCGTGGGCTGGTTCATGAGGTCACGAAGAGTCGGAGACGACTGAACGAATGAACAACAACAATACAGTTGTATTGTGGAGTTTATGTACCAGCAGCCTGTCGTAGCTAGCTCTGATAGCAAGGACGAGGAGGAGCTGTTTGAAGGGTCAACAGTTATGTTGGAGCCCAGCAGTGCCCAACAGCTTTCTCTTCTGAGCTTGTAAGAAGAGCCTTTGGAGAAAGCTATCACTTCACAGCCTGTATAGCATGTACAAGCCAGTACATCTGAGCAGTTGGAGGAAAGATTAAGTATTCTGACTCTTTTAGATTTGGGAAGGGAAGAAACTCAAGTTTGCAGATCCACTTGATTAGCAGGGAAACGAGCTATCAGTAGGCAACACATGAGAAACTAGCTTGAAAGTTGATCAGGAGTTGCATGTTGTTGCTGGCAGCATGTCAGTGTTTGGAGCTGTGACCTTGGACTTCTGGTGATTTTGGGATTTGTGAACCTTTGGATTTTGGATTGACTTTGAACTCTAGTGTTTGTTGAAAATGGCGTTTGAATATTGAAACGAACCATTGTGTTATTTCCTTCTTTTTGTGTCTCTTCAGTTGGCTTTTTCAGTTTGGACTAGCACTGTTTGCTGTTTGGATTACTTCTGTTTGTAAGATGGGTCTCGGCTTCATGGCACAACCTCCAAACTACCTCCTGTAGATACAGACATTGCCTTTTTGGTGTAACTGGTTTTGTTTCTCCACCCAATTGTCTTCCACAATAAACTAACTCTTTCCACAAGTATTTCTCCCCAAGTTGGAATCAATGGGTTGACATTTATCAGTGGATTTCAGAGATTAAATGTTTCATTTGTATTGTTGTGAATACATCAAGTTGTCTTCTATCCAATAAGGTCTGAAACATTTTTGAAAAATTGGAAATTTTTTTGAAAAGTTGTTTCTTTTGGACTATGTTCTTGATGCATAGCAGATCATTTAAATATTAATTTATCCTATAGAAATCTAAAGATCATAGTCACTGTTCTGCTGTGGTGCAAACCATTCCGCATCAAATTCCAACACTGCCAGTTTTATTTTCATTCCTTTTCTTAATGATGCTTGGCACTGAATTTGCCTTCTTTATGCTGCCAACACTGAAGTTTTGCAGAGCCATGGCTCAATGTGTTTTTTTCTTTTTTGGTATCCCTAATTAGATGTTAGGAGATTTTTTAAAAACTTTATGAGCATTGCTTAGTTTGGATTTAATTTACCACTGAGTTGCTTAGTTACAAAGTTTTGTTCAGTGTTCTGCAGTTCACTTGGAGTTTCATCATTATAAGCAATTTGACATTGTGAGAAAATCCGGCCATATTACACTTACTATATTGCGTATTGACAAGGCAGGCACTGGGTAGTAGTACTACATCTGCCCCTTCCCCATCCTCTCACTTGGGCTGGGGCTTGCTGTTTCCTGTGGTTTCATATACAGGCAGTCCCCGGATTACAAACATTCAACTTACAAATGATTCATAGTTAAGAATGGGGATGAGACAATAGAAAGTGAGAGAAGTCTATCCCTTGAAAGAGAAATTCACTCCTGAAAGAGTTATCATGGGGAAAAGTTGTCTCCACTGAACCTTTATCACCAATTCTTGTTTCCACAACAAGACACACTTTTCAAAATCCAATTATCACAGGGACAAAAAGTCAGGTCAAATCTTTTTAACAGACACAGACAGTAAAACAACAACACAGTAGTGTTCATCCTTCCCTATTCTATCTAAATAATGTATTTTTGGCCGGAATTACATTAAAAATGCACCTGGTCTGACTTACATACAAATTCAACTTAAGAACAAACCTACAGAACCTATCTTGTTCATAACATGGAAACAGCCTGTATCTGCTCAGAGTCCTAGAACGTCTCCACGCAGATACATGGGTTATACTGTATTATATATTTGTAATGTTGTTTAATGGTAACCATAGTAAACTGCAACACTTTGTTCAACCTGCAGTTTGCTCAAAACGACGTTGGTTACCAAACCCATGCTTGAGTTGAATATGTTAAATACCCCAGACATTTTTATTGACTGGTAATGGATAACTTATTGAGAATGTTTAATAATGAATGAGGTCTTTTTATGACAAGCTTTTGTGTTATTTTCAGTTCCTTTCAGATGTCCTGCAAAAACATTCTCTTCCAATAGTATGCACGTGTTCTTCTGCTGATATTCAGGCAGCTTTTAGCACTATTGTCTCAAGAATACAGAGATAGTAAGTTGTGTTTTTAAAGTAATCTTATCAGATATGTTTTTTTGTTTCCTAATGTATATCCCCTGCCCACAATTCCATCTACAGTTCCTTCAAAGCGTAGTGCAGTGATGCACAACCTTTTTGGTTGTAATCAGTTGTTATGCTCTTTTGGGAGATGGGTCCACCTATAAATTTGCATGTAGACACATATCTCTATAAGAAGTTCAGTTTCCTTATTAGGCAGCAGTGGAATTACTTCTTTCCCCTAGCATGACAGATTGATTTTTAGATCCCTCTGGCAGATGAAGCAGAGAATCTTCTTTTTACGACCACCTCTTTCTCCCCTCACTCCTGGTCATCTTATGAAAAGAGTGTAAAGTGTCCTTGGCAAAATACAAGAAGCAATTTGGCAACAACAGAATTTGAACCTAAGTTGATATAAATTTTACTCACATTTTACTGAATATTTTATTAGATATTTTATTTTTGTGTGATTTTTGTCTTGTATTTTATGTTAAATGTGCTTTGATTTGTATTGTACTATGTTGTGAGCCACCTTGGGTCCTGTTAGGGAGAAAAGTGGGATATAAATAAAGATTGATTCTTTTTCTTATTATTATTACTCATGGTTATGTATTAATTTAAAATGTATTAATTTACATTTAGCAGTAGCTGAAATGCAATTAAGTAGAACAAGAACTACCTGCAATAGCTTGATAGTTGCCTTTGCTTGCAGAGGAAAAAAGTCAGGTGTATTTTTTAATATTTTCTATTTTTGTTTTTTAATCTTTTTTTAAAAGGTGGGGGTTGATATTAGTATTAGTTGGCAGGGATGGGCGAAGAAATGGGGTGGGGATATTATAGTGTTCTATTTGCATTTGATCCTTTGGTTTTGTTTCTCTTTTTAGTGTCTCTTTTTATTTTTAGTTTGTTGTGAACATTTAATGCACATTAAAACATATGTTGAATATTTATTATTTAGTATTTGTCTATGGATTTTCTTTAAAGCAGTAATTTTCTCTTCCTCGTTTAGCTGTAACTGCAACTCTCAACCTCCCAATCCAATTAAAATTGCAGTTGCTGGAGCCCAGAATTACCTCAGTGCCGTGTTGAGGCTTTTTGTAGAACAACTGTCTCACAGAACCCCAGATTGGCTCAGCTACATGAGATTTCTTATTATACCACTAGGTAAATAATCTTTTTTTCTTTCCTACATGTAATGGTTTTGCAGCAGCTTAGTACTTCAGCAACTGTTAGTTTCACTGTTCTCTGGTTCATATTGCACAGTCTTGCATCTGGTAACTGCAGTCTCTAGAACTGTGGTTATCAACCTGTGGGTCCCCAGATGTTTTGGCCTTCAACTCCCAGAAATCCTAACAACGGGTAAGCTGGCTGGGATTTCTGGGAGTTGTAGACCAAAACACCTGAGGACCCACAGACTGAGAACCACTGCTCTAGAATATCAACACTTTACCATTGTTCCCTTTCAATCTCTGTGATATCATGAATGGAGTTTCCCTAGAGTTCCCACATGTGTTTGTGTGTATTTATGCCTTTACGTCACCAGCTGACTTACGGTGACTCCATGAATTTCATAGGGTTTTCTTGGCCAATGTGGTTTTTCAAGTTCCTTTCTCTGAAATATGGTCTACAGCACCTGGTATTCATTGGCTGTCTCCCATTTAATTATAAACCAGGATTCACCCTAATTAGCTTCTACAGTTAGACAAGATCTGATGTCTTTAGGGTGTTTAAGTCCTTACAAAATACACAGATGGCATAAAATTAGAATCACTGAAATGATATGAACACAAGAAAGATTAACATTGTTGATCTTAAAATGTCTTTAAAAGAATATTAAAATGACCCTTAGATAATATTTTCTTAATTGATAAAATTAAAAGATGTGATTTTGATTGGATTTTTTCAAATAGTGTGGTCTCATCATTTTCTCCAGTAGCAGGGGGTTAAATGTGGAGACGAAATCACAACATTGTAAGTGGCACTAATTTGTCCAACAAACTTGTCGTAACAGGCCATGAAGGATTACACGGCTCTTTCCTCTGAGTTAATGGAATAGGCCTGGTTGTTCAAAGGGCTTTTGCGGAATGCAATTGAAAAGATAAACTGGTGATGAATACATTTCTTCACCACTAGTATAACATAGTATATTCTATAATGAGTTGTAATCTGTGTCGAGATGGAGTCAGCCTATAATCCAGCTGTCTTCATTTATGCTTCATTTAATTGAATTCTAGTATATACCAATAGATATGCCAAACTCAAAATGTCCATTGGTATAAACTCAATGGACATTTTGTACTCAAATGTCCCTTCCCTTCCTAAGATTATCATAGTAATGTCAAGAAAGGAGGCTGCTGGGTAGCATAGTAGGCAGGACACTGACAGAATCCCCAAACTGTTCTAAGATAGAGACATACCTGACTTGTATGGAAATGGTATATACTCGAGTATAAGCTGAGTTTTTCAGCCCTTTTTTTAGGTGGAAAAAGCCCCCCTCGGCTTTTATTCGAGTCAAGGTTATTTATTATTTTACTGTTATTTTTATTTTTACTACATTTATTATTTTACTGTATTTATTATTACTATTATTACATTTACATTATTTTACTCTATTAATATTATATTGCATGTATTATCTTACTCTATTATTACATTTCTTACTTTACTCTATTATTACATTTCTTATTTTACTCCCTTTATTATTATTGGAAGGATATGTGAACACTTTACATTGAAAATGGTTAGAATAATGGTTTAATCGGAGTTGGATAGTCTAATCATAAATTACAGTTTTATGTAAATATTCAAAAACAAAAACCTACTGATACTTCAATTCATGTAATTTTATTGGTATCTATTTTTATTTTGAAATGTACCAGTAGCTGCTGCATTTCCCACTCTCGGCTTATACTCGAGTCAATACATTTCCCCAGTTTAGGTACCTCAGCTTATATTTGTGTCAGCTTATACTCAAATATATAAGGTATATTTATTTATATCTGTTAGCGTTGTCATTTTCCCTTGCCGCCCTATATGAGAGCCATACATGACTTAGGACCTCTTACCCTAGCACTTAAGACCTGGCTTTTTACTAGAGCTTTTGATCTATGTTAATTTTATCAATATCTGTATGTATGTATTTTTATCCTTTACAATTTTAGCCTGTAAATCGCCTAGAGCATCTTGGATGGAGGGCGATTAATAAGTAATTAAATGATGATGATGATGATGATGATGATGAAAAAGTATGCATCTTTCTGTTCCTAGGTTGCTTTGATTTCTCTCTTTTCTACCATTATTTGGTCTCTATGTTTGTTCCAAATCCATTTTATTCCTTTTTGTGATCCATGGGATAAAAGGCTCATATCCTTGTCCTAGAATGATTCTTATTGCCTTAATTTTCAGTGTCATTTATGGTGACGTATTTTTCTTTTACAAACTAATGTATGTTTAAATGTACTAAAAAATGTGTGTGTTCATTGTAGGTTGTCACCCAGTTGCAAAATATCTGGGCTCAGTCGATTATAGATACAACAACTTCTTTCAGGATTTATCTTGGAAAGATTTATTTAACAAACTTGAAGCACAAAATGCTCGTAAGTACTGTTGAGTGCTGTGTAATTACATGATGCCAGCTGCTTCATTTACTACCTTTGCGGAAATAAACCAATAATTATGTTTTCAATCTCCTGCCTTTCTAATTTATTCCAAATACAATACAGCTCGGGGTCAACATATGGCCCTAGGGTTCAGCGTTTCCCAACTCTGTTTTTGAAGTGCTCCACTAAAGCTTTACCATATATGACATGGACAAACTATCAGGACTGTCACCATTGAACTGTACTTGTGTGTCTCCAGAAGCTTTGGGTTGGTTTCTGCTGAAATAAAATATTGGGGTGGATTAATCTGGGTTTCAGCAAGTTATTTGTTCTTATTATTCTAAACCAGGGGTCCTCAAACTTTTTAAACAGAGGGCCAGGTCACAGTCACTCAAACTGTTGGAGGGCCAGATTATAATTTGAAAAAAGCATGAATGTATTCCTATGCGCACTGCGCATATCTTATTTGTAGTGCAAAAAACACTTTAAAACAATAAAATAATGAAAATGAAGAACAATTTTAACAAATATAAACTTATTAGTATTGCAATGGGAAGTGTGGGTCTGCTTTTGGCTGATGAGATAAGATTGTTGTTGTTGTTGTGTACTTTCAAGTCATTCCAGACTTAGGTTGACCCTGAGTGAGGGCCGGGTAAATGACCTTGGAGGGCCGTATTTGGTCCCCCGGGCTGTAGTTTGAGGACCCCTGTTCTAAACAAATGCACGGAAAATTGTTTTCTCGCTTCTTTTTCTCTGTTTGCTTTGTTTTAGCCCAGGAATTGCCTGATATCGTCTCCAGAATAACCCAGTACATAGTAGGAGCAAACTGTGCTCATCAGTTACCTATTGCAGAAGCAATGTTGACATACAAACAGAAAAGGTACCTTGTTTTTAAAGCAATCTCTCGATCAGACATAAATCATGCAAAACGTTTTCATATTTGTTGAACCTTAAAATGTCAGCAGTGAAGATTCACAATAATCTGATACTGGTTACAATCCTGTAGTATTCATAAAACGAATGGGCTACATCAGTCAGGTTCTACTTAATGTTTAAAACAAGCTCTCTGAATGAGAAAACAAAACTGAAAGTTATGTTTTACAGCTCAGAAGAAGAACTTGGTTGAACAATTCAAAACAAAGTCTAAGTTCTCAAAACATGTGTACTGTCGATACTGCATGCACATGCCATAAGAAGTCAGCATGTTTCCTGTCGAAGTGGATTAATTTAGCCTTACAGTTTGATTTATTTTGTATCCATGAGTGTAATAGTTTACTTGTGTTTCTCTTGGTTGCTTCTGAAAAGGAAAAAGACCTTTCAATTTGATTTTAATATAAGGTATTAGTCTTTCTATATTTCCTTTTCGATCTGTTACCCTGCATTTTTCATTTGTTGATCTTTTTGCTGCTTAGCAGTATTTCATGCTCAGTTTTGGTACAGTGTGTACTGATTTGCTGCTTTTGATATCATCTCAGGAGGCAAAATGCATTGTCAAAAAGACTAGAATTTTAAGTTTCAGAATTACATTCTTTAACTGCAGCTGATTGGGGGAAAGTGTGCACTACTGACCTAAAAATCAAGTCAGTTTACAACTGGCATTGCAGATTTCTTCCATTTATAATAATAAGGATGTAATTTTTCACCTCAAGTAATTCTAGAAATTTTCTTCCTACTGCAAGGAAGGCTTCAAAGATTGTGCAGTTTTTGAAGTCTTTTCACATTTCAAAACTGGTTCTACAGGAAACTTTCACTTCAAAACAGAAAATGCCCGTTACTGTGCAGAATATTATTTTTTCCTACGCAAAAACAAAACTCACGTGCAAATGTAGCTTGAGATAAGCCTTGAGTTCTGAAGATTGCCACATGATCTTCTTCATAAAGGTTTTCTGTGCGTTGAAGGAGGGGAGCACATTTCCCAACCATTATTGATTTTTTTTATAAAAAAAATCTTTCCACTCTTAATACATAAATGCTGCAAATTGGGTTCACAAGTTCTTGACCAGCCTGTAAATAAAGCTGTTCAAGGCATTTCCCTGACCTCTTTATAGGAAGGAGTGTAGCTTGCTTCTTTTTCCTCACAGAAATAACAGGTTCATTATTTTGTTGCCTTATTATGATCGAAGCAAATTGAGGGTACAGTTAACATGTATTTAAAAACACAAACAAAGTTAAAAACTTATCATTATACTAAATGTTCTTAGACCAGTAGCTGGCCATTTGGAGTGCCTCTGGTGTTGCTATAAGAAGGTCTTCCACTATGCATGTGGGTTCAGGTTGCATTGTAGTAGGTGATCTGTGGTTTTCTCTTTTCCACACTCGCATGTCGTGGACTCCTTTGTAGCACCATTTCTTAAGGTTAGCTCTGAATCTCGTGGTGCCAGAGCTCAGTCTGTTCAGTGCCTTCCAAGTCGCCCAGTCTTCTGTGTGTCCAGGAGGAAGTCTCTCATTCGGTATCAGCCATGGATTGAGGTTCTTGGTTTTAGCCTGCCAGTTTTGGACTCTCACTTGCTGAGGTGTTTCTGCGAGTATCTCTGTAGAAAGCTACTTCTTGATTAAAGGCGTTGGTGTGCTGGCTGATATCCGAACAGAAAATGGGCCAAAGATATCACTGCCTTGGTCCTTTCATTATTGGTTGCTACTTCCTGATGGATGTCAGGTGGTGAAATACCAGCTAAACACCATAATTTCTCCAGCGGTCCTGTGATAATGCGGCATGTCTCATTAAGAGCCACCTCCAGTTTTAGCGTGGTGAGATGTGTTCCTCACTGGGCATGTGTAGTCAGCAGCAGAGTAGCAAAGCACAAGGGCAGATGTTTTCACTGTGTCTGGTTGTGATCCCCAGGTTGTGCCAGTCAGCTTTCATATAATATTCTTTCTAGCACCCACATTTTGCTTTGTTACATAATTTATCCACTACCAAAAAGCTAAAGTTAGGGGCAGTGTTCTAATCAAGGTTGTAACAACCTATTAACTGGGAAGGGGAGCCTCCGTTTGAGGTCTACCCACATTTGCTTTCAACAAAAAATGTAATTTTGGCTGTGTCTTACAAGTAGTTGGACTCAATAATTGAAGAACAGAATTTTAGAGCTCTCAATATTCACTAGTGTTTGGAATCAGGACTCCTGTGGATAACAACATCCATGGATGTGCAAGTCCCATTACATATAATCGCGTAGGAAAATGGCGTGCTTTATTTAAAATGGCAAAATATAGATTTGCTTTTTGGAATTGGGGAAATATTTTCCATCTATGGATACAAAGGGCCAATAGTAAACACAATTTCAGAAGAGCATCTATAGTATGGATCAAAGTCATTGCACTTTTAGTGCTTTATATAGTAAAAACAACATGTTTTTAGTACAAGGGATAAGCAGCAATTCATTCACAAAGATATATTTGTGTAAATGTGTGGATTCTGCATTCACTTTTAAGATATTGACAGAAAAACAAATGTACATTTCAAATGATGTTAACAGGTGTTAGGAATGACCCTGAATGGCTTTGCCTTCTGCCTCGAACAATTGCTGTATCTGAACTGATCTCCTTCATTAGCATTTTAGCAATTTTTTTGACCTCTGCATCTCGCCCTTTGCCACCTTCTGCAACCAAGGGATTGTGGGCTGTAAGAGGCTCTCCGAATGTATAGAATGTTTGAGGCCTTCAGAATTGTTCAGTATATTTTAGCATTAAATTATGTTCCGGTGACCAGAAGATTTGAAAAAGAAAAATAGCTTTAAAACTCTCCGGGCATCTTTTGCATATGAACTCCTTCCCAAGCTATTTCTTAATGATGATTTTGTGTGTGTGTGTGTGATGCTGACTCCAGTTTCTATCCCCTTTCCTTTCTATTGCATCTTTAGCTTTTTTTAAAAAAAATCTGCAGATGCATGTAGTGTTTGTGAAATGATGTGTGGAAGCTTCATTTTGTCTGCGTAGAGCATGTACTGATAAATGGTCATGTATTTTTAAAGAAATAGAGTTACTTTGGCAGAATTCTTGCATTCTGTCTGCAGTACCTCTATTTTAACAGTAATTTCATGCAGAGCTTGGAAATATGGGATGACAGATACATTCCAAGGCCCTCTGTGGATACCTGAAATTGTGGATAATGGCTAGCCCTATATTTTGTCTGTGCTTTGGGCTGGAAGCATACCACAGAATTGAACTGGATGATCTAAAAGGCCCACAAACACTTCTTTAACAAGTGAATAGGTTTTAAAACATTGAGGATTCATTGGAGCAAGTCCCTTCTCTATTGAATTCAGCAAGAAAGGAAGATCTAGGTAGTGGTTCTCAACCTGTGGGTACCCAGATGTTTTGGCTCTCCCAGAAATCGTAACAGCTGGTAAACTGGCAAGGATTTCCGGGAGTTGTAGGCCTAAACACCTGGGGACCCACAGGTTGAGAACTTCACTCCAGGCTTATATGTCTTATGTGGACGGAAGCTGTATTGTTACGCTATTCTCCTTCTTTGTTGATTCATCCTGATCTCTATTTTATATTTTTATAACATACTAGCTGTCCCCTGTCACGCATTGCTGTGGCCCACATGGGGGTTCTGTGTAGGAGGTTTGGCCCAATTCTATCGTTGGTGGGGTTCAGAATGCTCTGTGATTGTAGGTAAACTATAAATCCCAGCAACTACAACTCCCAAATGTCAAGATTCTATTTTCCCCAAACTCCACCAGTGTTCACATTTGGGCATATTGAGTATTTGTGTAGAGTTTGGTCCAGATCCATCATTGTTTGAGTCCACAGTGCTCTCTGGATGTAGGTGAACTACAACTCCAAAACCAAAGGACACTGCCCACCAAACCCTTCCAGTATTTTCTGTTGGTCATGGGAGAACTGGGTGCCAAGTTTGGTTCAATTCCATCGTTGGTGGGGTTCAGAATGCTCTTTGATTGTAGGTGAACTATAAATCCCAGCAACTACAACTCCCAAATGACAAAATCAATTTTTTTGAGTGAAGGACATCCATTGACTTGTTAGGTGTCTTGTGTCCAAATTTGTTGTCAATTCGTAAAGTGGTTTTTGAGCTCTGTTAATCCCACAAACTAACATTACATTTTTATTTATATAGATCATACTGTTTATTTGATACAAGCTGTTCTAAGCCCCTTTGTAGTTTTTAGTATTTTTATTGTTGCTTACATAGTGCTAGGATAAATTAAACATTTTCACCAACTCCAGTCTTCCCCCATTTCGTCTTCTCTTAACTTTTCACTCACATGTGGTTCAGTAGATCACCCATGTTGAGTGGTTTGGTAAAATCTGGGTTTAATGATTTGGAATCAAAAGATTTATTTAGGTAAAACCATGAACTTTCCATGTCTGCTCAGAAATATATCCCATTAAACCTATTTATATTCCTTTAATGAGTAGTAGTAAAGTTTATTGTTTAGTCCACTGACCATATCAACAGTAAAAGACAAAAACAAGAAAATACACAAATAGACACTAATCACTGTCCTAAAACTCATGTAATAGTGAACATACATTAAAACACAGTTAAAACTTGATTAGAGTTAAAAATTATCTTTAAAAGTTAAAGATAATTAAAAATATCACACAGTTCTGGGCACTCGGATGCAAAAGCTTTCCCCACTCCACCCCACTTTATCTCTCTTCTCTTCCCACCATCCTGTTCTGCTCGTTACCCACCCCCTTCTTCAGTGGATCACACACTTTCAGGGTTTTGGTAAGGTTGAAGCATGGAGCTAAAAGACATGGCTAGCTAAAACGGTGTCCTTGTTTATGATTTCCTTTAAAAATATTCAAATATTGAGTTAGAAGATGAACAACATTTGTACTCTGCTACTGATCTTTCAAGAGCAAATCAAACCAAATTGTATTTGCATTAAGCTAAGGACCATTAGAATTATAATGAATACACTACATATCAGCAGACACGACCAACGTAAACACTTACTAGTACTAACACTAAAACAGTCTTAGATCTAAAATCTATCTAATACAACCTTATATGTAAAATATATCTCAATTATTAAAACATATATAAACAATTTTCTAATTCTTGATAAGGTGTAGGAAAGCAGAGATTCATTTTTATGGCCATATTGCTGGCAGAGAACATCGAAACTCTTAGTAACTATCTAGAAGTAGTTATTTATGCGTTTCTGCCATTTAAAATGCATCAGTCATTCACATGACCACCAAGGCAGTTTACAAATATACAGTAATTAAAATAATATTCAATATAAGAAAAAGGCAAAAATATTTCTTATCATAAAATATGGCAGGCGGAAAGTACAATAGACTGATAGAAAAACCCATTTAAGTACCTGGGCAAACAAAGATGTTTTTTATCTGATGCCAAAATAACTTTAATTAGTTTTAGGAACAATCATTCTGTAATCAGATTGCCACCACAGAGGAGGCAATCTTCTGTGCTGCCATCTCAGATGCCTCCTTGCAGTGGAGCTTCTGCTGATGATTGTAAATCGTGTTAAAACAGTTTGTCAACTGTCTGAAACTGAAAATTATCTGCATATAGTTTTTGCAGTTTTAAATCATTTTCTTCTAAAGACCAAAGGAGCAAAGTAAGCGTAAGTGTGCTGTGTGTGCATGAGTGTGTGTGCATGCATTCATGAATGTTTGCACACTAATATCTATTTTGCATGGATTTATCATAAAATAATGTTCTGAGCATATAGAGAAATTCATATGTGCACGTGTTTGTTGCTGCTGACTGTTGTGAGATAGTTACTTGCTTCTGCATTTTGTAATGACAATAGCTCTGTAATTTCTTTAGTCCAGATGAAGAATCAGCCCAGAAGTTCATCCCTTTTGTTGGTGTAAGTAATATTTTATGTGGATGGTTTCACAGGGGTTTTTCTGTAATCTACATTACAGGGTGCATCTACACTGTAAAAAGGAATGCATGGCTCAATGCTATGAAATGGTGAGAGTTGTAGTTTGGTGGGACACCAGCATTCTGGCCGAGAAGGCTAAAGACCTTAAAAAGCTACACTCCTAGGATTCTGTATCATTGGTCGTGGTAGTTAAAGTGGATTAATTTTGCAGTGTAGATGCTCCCACAATTGTGGGTTGCATGCAGTCTTGTTACATGCATGCAGATTGAGCGGCCATTCCCCTCCACACATACATTACCCAACGTGTAACAGCATATTTTAGAACAGGGGTCCTCAAACTAAGGCCTCCGTGATGAATCAGGGCAGCAGGGAATCTTAGCGCCCTATGTCCCGCCTTGCCATCCCCTCTACTAATACTTTCTTCAAATTAGAACCAAAAATGCCATTTTCTTTTCAAGAAATACAGAAATTAGCCTCTAGTTCAGCTTTCTTCCTGTTATTGTACAGCTAGTAATTCTGTGTAAAACTAGTCTTTTTTTCTCTTGTCAGGTAGTAAAGGTTGGAATTGTTGAACAATCTTCTGCAACATCAGGTAATACTATCTTTCTGCAGTGTTATCATTTATCCTTAATGTATGTATTGCCTTTGGTGACATGTTATTTCTCTGAGGTGCTGTGTGCAGTTAGAAAATATTACCATCCATAGAGATTTATATCCCCTATATATAGAGATTTATACCCCTTTTATATAAAAAAGAGACCAGATTACAACTGGCCCTCCATTTTCACGGGGTGCAAAACCTTATGTTAAAATGGAAAAAATGAAAAATTATGTAGGTGGTACCTGACTCCAGTCAAACTGGAGGTTGTACAAGGATGCTAAAATTTATGTTGGAAATGTGAAACACGCTAAGGTATTTTTAATTATATGTGATGGACATGTAACAGAGTATGAATACATTGAAATAGATTACAACTAGTTCCATTTCTATTGTTTTGAGTAGAAATAACCCTAACCGTGAAACACACAAAGAAGATCCTCAGAAGAAAGAGACAGAGAAGCAGAACTGTTAAGAGCCACTCTTGGAGTTGAGCAATTAATTTCAGGTTCTCCCCTTAATACATGATTTATTGTTGTGTTGAAGTGAAATAAGGGGCTGTGGTGGCACAGTGGGTTAAACCACTAAGCTGCAGAACTTGCTGATCGGAAGGTTGGTGGCTCGAATCTGCAGATAGTGTGAGCTCCCATTGTTAGCCTCAGCTTCTGCCAACCTAGCAGTTCAAAAACATGCTAATATGAGTAGAGCAATAGGTACCGTTTCAATGGGAAAGTAAAAGCGCTCCATGCAGTCATGCTGGCCACATGAACTAGGAGGTGTCTAAAGACAACGCTGGCTCTTCAGCTTAGAAATGGAGATGAGCACCACCCCCACAACTAGATTTAATGAGAAGGGGAAACCTTTACCTTTGAGTGAAATATTGCATAATGATTTATTTTTTTCCAACATATTGTGACATCTTTATCAGTGACAGGGAAATTTGTGAATATTATTTATATCTTTTCTTTCCAGCAAATAAAGTGATATTATCTTCCTGCAAACAATTAACATCTAATTCAGTTAAGCTTCAATCATGTACGTTGTCCTATTGAAGTCAGTGGGGAATATCTCTGAGTTTATACATATTGGCAGGAAATATTTCAGCTGTTCTGATATCATCAAGACAATGTATTGTCGAAGGCTTTCATGGCTGGAATCACTAGGTTCTGAGGATGCTTGCCATAGATGCAGGCGAAACGTCAGGAGAAATGCCTCTAGAACATGGCTCTATAGCCCGAAAAAACCCACAAGAACCTAATCATCAAGACAGTTTAATGTTTGTATGCTTTGAGTTTTAATTTACGTTATTGTATGATTTTTAGTGTTAGTCACTTTGAGTCCCCTTTGGGAGGGAAGCCAAGGGATATAAATTCTACATCTACAAATAATAATAATAATTTTAGATAAATGCTATTCAGTCTATTTCTTTTTAAAGCCAGCACTGGATGTGTTTGTGCATGTGTGCAGGTGTGTGTGTAATAATTTCTAAAAAGCCCTGCTGTAATTAAAGTCATGTATCCCTTGTATCAGTACCAAGTGTTCAGAAATACACTATTGTAAAATAGTAATTGATGTCACCCTTAGTGCTTCTCCCTGATTTTGAAGTGAATTCCAAAATAGTCATTATGCTAATACCGTGACACTGCACTGTTCTTTCGGTGTGCTTGTTGAGAAAGAGAAAATTTCCATAGTGCTTGTGGATGATTGCTCCTCACTATCAATAATCTGTCTTTCACTTCTGATCTGTCTAATTTCTGCCCTTTCTGGTTCATTGTTTTCCATGCTTGCCACTTGAATCAATCTTTGTTATAGATAATTTAACTATACATTTCATATACCAATTACTGAGATGTTAGAACTAACAAGTTCTGTACAAAGTGGGGATGGGGGAACAAGGAAGTCTGAAACTTTGAAAATATGCAAAGTTCAAAAACTGCTTATAAAGTTGAAAAAGGTATTAGAAACAACAGTAATATTTGCTTTGAATTTCTGACACCTGCATGCATTTTATATCTTCTGTTTGACGAGTATAAAATGCTAATTTTGTACTCTTCCACCTCCCTCTCCTGTAACAAATCACCATGCATCTTGATCCAAGCATAAAGAAACAGTACATTTATGTTAACTTTACAGTAATTCTTAAACATAGTGGCATCACTCTACTAGTAAAGGTGGCAGCATTTTATTTATTTATTTCGGGTATTTTTACCCCACCCTCCTCAACCCCCTAGGGGGCACTCAGGGTGGCTTCCAGCCGGCACATATTCGATGCCTACAATTAAACACAATAAAATACATAACAAAACAGTAATTATAAATCATTAAAACATTGAGTTAATACAATAAAATCTACTAGAAAAAAGCCAGCCTGGTGGCCGTTGTATCGCCGAGTTCTATAATTAGTGATTCCATTCAGCTTATCATAATCCGTTTCCATAGCATCTTGTCGTCATTGTCCTTGTCAGTCTGCCAGATTACCCAAAGGCCTGGTCCCGTATCCATGATTTTAATTTCCTTCTGAAAGAGAGGAGGGATCTAATTTCCCTGGGGAGTGAATTCCACTGGCGGGGGGCCACCACCGAGAAGGCCTTGTTCCTTGTCCCCACCAGTCTCGTTTGTAACAAGGGCGGGGCTGAGAGCAGGGCCTCTCCAGAAGATCTTAAATTCCTAGGCAGAACGTAGAAGGAGATAAGTTCGGACAGGTACGCTGGGCCGGAGCCGTATAGGGTTTTATAGGTCAAGACCAGCACTTTCAATTGTGCTCAGAAATAGATCAGCAGCCAGTGGAGCTGACACAACAGAGGGGTGGTATGCTCCCTGCATGACGCTCCGGTGAGTAATCTGGCTGCTGCCCATTGAACTAGTTGAAGTTTCCGAACAGTCTTCAAAGGCAACCCCATGTAGAGCATGTTGCAGTAATCCATTTGGGATGTAACAAGAGCGTGGACCACTGTGGCCAGATCAGCATTTTGAAAATGCTGTGTAAAAGGTTCAACCTTGTAGACATAAATCCCCTCTGCTACATCAAGGATATTTTGAAATTACTTTTTTGCTGAAAAGTAGTATGAGAAAATTCTGATGACAATCCAGAAATGTCCTCCTACGATGTGCAGCTGGTGCTTTTGGTGATCACTAAGCTGCAGACCAACCCTTTGAATCCTTCTTTTTAAGGTGACTCGGATGATGCCACTCCCAGTAGTTCGAGTGTCCTTTCCTCTACTCCACCTTCTGTGTCTCCTGCTATGAAGGAATCTTCCCCCACCCCACCTTCCTCACCGTCTGTCACAGGCAGTTTTGCTTCCTCCAGGTAAAGCACTTTTCTGCCTTTTCTTTGACATGTAAACTTGAGCTAAGAAATGACACCTGTTTACAGTATATGAGCACCATATCCCTTGTCATTTGCCCCTATTTTGTCTACAATCCCTTTTTCAGTCTGTATTCAGAAGTTCAGCTTTACTCAGAATTCGTACCTGAATGCTGATGGTTTTTGCTTAACCTTGGGCATTACTTTCTTTAGAGGAAAAAAGGTTAGCATTGGGAACAAATGAATTACTACTGTTATTAAAAAAAGGAAGTATGAGAGGTGGCAAGCACTGTGTTTCTAATCTTTTCAAAGTTGCAGGATTCCTTCAAGAGGTTTCCAACTTGAACCTATCATGATGTTTTTGGGCAATATTTGTTTGGGGATGGGGTGAGGGTTGCCTTTGCCTCCCTTTGAGACTGAGAGAATATATTTGTCATATCCATGTCTGAGCAGGGATTCAAACTCTGGTCTCCAGAGTTGAAATCATGCATTCAAAGAAAAACAGTAACTTTCCATTTGGTGGTCGCAAGAATGCATTTAAAATGGTTAATAAGAAACCTGTGCATAAAAATAACAAATAATAACAAAGTTTTTTATGCCATATCCGACAGTAATCTAGAAAAGTTAGGAAGTAACTCGTTTTTCCAGTGGATTACTTTGGTCAGTATTTACTTTTTGCAGTAGTAAGCTAGAACTGATTTCCTTTTGGGCACATTTTAGGGCTTGTAGCTAGCTAGCTACTCCCTGATAGGAACTGTAGTTTTGTGTTTTGTTGGTTTTTTTTGTCGTGTCAGGAGCGACTTGAGTAACTGCAAGTCGCTTCTGGTGTGAGAGAATTGGCCGTCTGCAAGGACATTGCCGAAGGGAAACCCGGATGATTTGATGTTTTTATCATCCTTGTGGGAGGCTTCTCTCATGTCCCCGCATGTGGAGCTGGAGTTGATAGAGGGAGCTCATCCGCCTCTCCCCAGATTTGAACCTGCGACCTGTCGGTCTTCAGTCCTGCTGGCACAGGGGTTTAACCCACTGCACCACGGGGGCTCCTGTTTTGTGTATAATAGAAACATTAAGTGCATTGACATTTCTGCAAATGCTTTTGGATCTGCATTGTAGTATATTTTCTTATTAATGCAGACTCCAGGCATCTAATGTATTTATGCTTCTACTTCCACTCACTCCACTCTGCTTGCTTGTTTTCCTCTCTTCTTTGTCACCTTTTCTCTTTCTTATCCTACCTTTCACCATACTATGTGAGAAGTTTTGACTTTCAGATTGAGCTCTCCTGTTTTAGGAACGTATGTGTTTGATGATAGTCAAATGAGTTGTAATGTCAGTGAAACCCTTTACCAGAATTGCTCAATATTTTTCTGTATAAAATGGTAGGCAAATTTAAATCACGGTGCAAGTGTGAAGCATATGAAATCTGTTTCATGTTTCACTTCCTTAGTTTTCCAGAAGCATTAACAATCCACCCTGTTATTGTCCTGGGTTGTGAATGATATTTATTTTTTCCATTTATTTTTTTGCGCATTTTTAATAATATATTAATTTTGTGCACATTTTTTTAATATACATGTTTGGGAATGTGTTTCTTACAGTAATTAAACCTGTTTACTAGTTTTTCAAATGTCTTCATTTAGTCATGTACATTTTAAAAAGTCTTTTCTCCAGAGTGCATTGCAACCCTAGCATATGTATTCATTTCTGAACAGGATTTTATTCAATTCTAGACAGTTTGTAAAATATGTGAAACAGGTATTTCTGAAGAGAAATTGGGAGCCAGTGAAATCCTTTTTATTGCCCTAGCTGAAAATAACCCCTACCGAGCTTCCAGGGAGACCCTTCTCTTGCTGCCGCCAACATTACAAATGCAGTTTATTTATTTATTTATTTATTTACTCCTTTTGTATACCGCCTATATCAGCCAGAAAAGGCGACTCTAAGCGGTTTACAGTAAAAGTGTGCAACATTGAACAATATATAAGACAAACATCGACAGACAATACACATAACGTCATCACGCCTCGAATAGAATCAGATCCAATCTCACAGTCGTTTTACCATTCCTTGTTCAGTATGCCGTCTATCTGAGTCAGATGTTATTGCATGCTTATCCGAACGCCTGTTCGAAGAGCCACGTCTTAACCCGCCTCCTAAACGCCAATAGCGAAGGGGCCTGCCTGATCTCCACTGGTAGGGCATTCCATAGCCGAGGGGCCACCACCGAGAAGGCCCTGTCCCTCGTCCCCGCCAGCCGCACTTGTGATGCTGGCGGGACCGAGAGCAGGGCCTCCCCGGACGATCTTAACATCCTCGCCGGTTCATAGGCGGAGATGCGTTCGGAGAGGTAGGTGGGGCCGGAACCGTGTAGGGCTTTATAGGCTAAAGCCAGCACCTTGAATTGTGCTCGGTAGCAAATTGGCAGCCAGTGGAGCTGGCTCAGCAGTGGAGTGGTGTGCTCCCTGAGAGCCGCTCCCGTTAACAACCTGGCTGCCGAGCGCTGGACCATCTGAAGCTTCCGGGCAGTCTTCAAGGGCAACCCCACGTAGAGCGCGTTGCAGTAATCTATGCGGGATGTGACAAGAGCGTGGACTACCGTGGCCAAGTCCGACTTCCCAAGATACGGGCGCAGCTGGCGCACGAGCCGAAGCTGTGCAAATGCTCCTCTGGAGACCGCTGAAACTTGGGGTTCCAAGCTTAGCGAAGAATCCAGAGTCACACCCAAGCTGCGAACCTGCGTCTTCAGGGGGAGTGCGACCCCGTCCAACACAGGCTGTAACCCTATACCCTGTTCGGCCTTCCGACTGACCAGGAGTACCTCTGTCTTGTCTGGATTGAGTTTCAATCTGTTCACCCTCATCCAGTCCGACACAGCGGCCAAGCACCGGTTCAGGACCTGGACAGCCTCCTTGGTAGTAGGTGGAAGGAGTGACAGAGTTGGACGTCATCTGCGTACAGATAACACCGCACCCCGAAACTCCGGATGATCTCTCCCAACGGCTTCATGTAGATGTTAAACAACATGGGGGACAGTATTGAACCCTGCGGGACCCCACAAGACAATGGTTGTGAGGTCGAGCAGTTGTCCCCCAGTAACACCTTCTGGGTACGATCCTCTAGGAAGGACCTGAGCCACTGTAGAACAGTGCCCCCCAGGCCCATTCCCACGAGGCGCCCCAGAAGGATACCGTGGTCGACGGTATCGAAGGCCGCTGAGAGATCCAGCAGAACCAGCAGAGACACACTCCCCCTGTCAAGTTCACGCCGGAGATCATCGACCAAGGCGACCAAGGCTGTCTCGGTACCATGCCCCGGCCTAAAGCCAGACTGCGCCGGATCTAGATAATCAGTGTCTACCAAGAATGCTTGGAGTTGTGAGGCCACCACACGTTCCAGGACTTTGCCCAAAAAGGGGAGATTGGAAACAGGCCGATAGTTGACGAATTGAGTGGGGTCCAGTGATGGTTTTTTCAACAGCAGTTTTATAACAGCTTGTTTTAAGCTGGCTGGAATTATGCCTTCCCGAAGGGAGGCATTAACCACCACCTTTACCCACTCGGCCAATCCCCCTCTGGCCTCCTTTAGAAGCCAGGATGGGCAGGGGTCTAGGATGCATGTGGTTGCCCTCATCCCTCCCAGCACCTTGTCCACATCCTCAGGTGTCACAGATTGAAACGAATCCAACAAAATCGGACAGACAGGTGTTCTCGTCACATCCTCAGAGACTGCCGTTAACATGGTGTCTAGGCCTGAACGGATCAAAGCGACTTTGTCCGCAAAGAACCGAGCAAATGCTTCACAGCGGGCTGCCGAGTTGCCAGGGCTCCCATCTAAAATGGTGGGTTTTAATAGGCCTCTGACAACTCGAAACAGCTCCGCCGGACGGTTCTTTGCGGACGCAATATTGGCCGCAAAGAAAGATTTCTTTGCAGCCTTTATTGCCACGGCATATGCCCTTAATAGGGCAACAAACCGTGTTCGGTTTGACTCGCTCGGGTCCGAACGCCACACACGCTCTAGTCTCCTCTTCTTTCGCTTCATTGCTGCCAGCTCCTCGGTAAACCAAGGAGCTGGTTTAGCTCGGCTACTTGAGAGGGGACGTTCCGGAGCGATCGTGTCTATAGCCCTGGTCATCTCCCTATTCCAGAGAGTCACCAAGGCATCAACAGGATCACCAACCGAGGCGGCAGGAAACTCCCCAAGAGCCATCAGGAATCCATCCGGATCCATAAGCCTCCTGGGGCGGACCAACTTAATGGGTCCCCCACCTCTGCAGAGGTTCGGTGGTGCAGTAAGTCTAAAGCTGACCAGATGGTGGTCGGTCCATGGCAACGGAGAGATAGATAACTCCTCAACCCCGCCACCTTGCTCCCATCCCTGACAGAAAACCAAATCCAATGTGTGTCCAGCACTGTGGGTGGGGCCAGTTACTTGTTGGGACAGCCCCATGGTTGCCATGGAAGACATGAAGTCCTGAGCCGCTCCCACTAAGGTAGTCTCGGCGTGTACATTGAAGTCCCCCAGCACAAGAAGCCGTTGGGACTCCAATGACAGGCTCGAGACCACCCCTAGCTCAGGTAGGGAGACTGTAGTGCAGCGAGGTGGGCGGTACACTAACAGAATCCCTATTCTGTCCCGGTCGCCCACCCTCAGGTAGACACATTCAAAATTAGTTGACTGTGGGATGGGGCCTCTGGTCAGCGAGATGGAATTTTTATAGACTACCGCCACCCCGCCTCCCCGCCCCCCAGGTCTCGATTGGTGCTGCACGGAGAAGCCTGGTGGGCAAAGCTGGGTTAAATTAACTCCTCCAGCTTCGTCCAACCAGGTCTCCGTAATGCACGCCAGATCTGCCCGTTCCTCCAGAATTAAATCTTGGATGAAAGATGTTTTACCGTTGACAGATCTGGCGTTCAACAGCACCATCTTCAACCCGGGGGGACTGCCAGCCTGGGTACATCCACCTGCCTTGTCAGGAGACCGATTACATATTATTAAGTTTTTTTGATTTCTTTTTTTATTTTTTTTATTTCTATATCGCATTTGTGGTGGTAATTCTCTACCATTTTGGAGCCGAATTGATGGCCGAATTGATGGTCGAATTGATGGTCTCCCTTTCCCGCATCTCCCCCTCCCCGTTAAGGTTTCTATGGGGGCCCCTCGACCAATGGAATGCTCCTCCCCATCCATATTGCACCTTGACATTGCAACCTCATCCCTTAATTCCTTCCAGTTTCTTTCCTTCGTTAATTCCTCCTTCCGCCAGCCTAGTTCCTTCCAGTTGTTTCTCGATCTTGCATAGCCCTTTCTGAGGTCTTTCCACCCACACCACCCTCCTTCCCCTTCCCTATTTGCCAGCAATGTTATTAGCAAATACCACAAAATGAGGGTAGACATGGGTGATCACAGAGCAATCGCAATGTGCAGGTCATAAAGTGCTATTGATAACCTCCTAGGTTTACTATCTTGGAGGATTGAGGACCTATGGTATCGCGGAGGGTCAATGTGCACCAGTATAAAGTGCATGAGATTTTAAAGTGCACAGGTTTTAGTTTTTAAAGTGCTCAATTCTAAAGTGCAATATTCAATGGCTCACTAACTAGTGCAAATTGGATGGGTAAGTGCAATAGGCTGGGGGACACACAACAGTTGGGTAACGGCTCAGTTCTTATAATAACAGTGCAACGGCAATGCAATCCTCAGTTCGTTGTCAAGTATAGTTCTTACATTGGTCCCCCCCCCCCAGTATCATAACTTGGAGTAGGGGGGTTGAGGGGAAAGATATAAAATCCCCCCAGTGACGGCACTTATAGTACCGGCAAGGGGTGTTAGGTGAGATGATCCCCAATGACTCAACAATCTAATATTAAGTTGGTAGTCTGATGTTTAGTTCAGTTCCTTCCGGGTCGAGGCGGATGAAGATGGTAATAAAGATGACAATTCATAGGCGACAGTTGATGGTGACAGTTGGCGGTGACGAGAGAGAGGGTCTTTTCAATGGCTGCCCCAATCCTTTGGAATGCCCTCCCTGGGGAGATTAAAACAGCCCCTTCCCTGACATCTTTTAAAAAACAACCGAAGACCTTCCTGTTTAAGCAAGCTTTTAATGAAGAAATTTAATTTGGAATGACAAGAAGGCTAACTTTCAGTGTCAAGTGAAGTGTACTATTTGAACTGATGAGTTCACGCAACAATTGTATCTGTTAAATGATTTTAAAATGTTTATGTTTTATTTTATATTTGGTTTTATTGTTATCTGTATGGTTGATTAGTTTTTTTTCTTCAAAATGTTGTGAGCCGCTTTGTGTCCCGTTTAGGGAGAAAAGTGGGATATAAATAATAATAATAATTATAAATAAATAAATAATAATAATTATAAATAAATAAATAAAACAGCCATTACTAAAATTTAATACCAAATAGAAATTAATCAAAAAGTAAAACTAGACAATCCTAGCAGACATAATCACGTAATATGAATGTAAACAGAATAAGAATTTAAAATAACTAAAACCTTACTAAGGGATAAAATTGTTGCCAACAACTAACAGGCTGAAATCAGTTCCAATATCTAAACAGGATAATCTTAAATACTTGATAAGGAATTAGCAAGATTAAAACATCATCCATCATTACTGACATTTAGTTGGTACCTGTGGGATTAAAAATATATAGGAAAGAAACCATTCATGTGCTATTTAAAACTGATAAAGAAACCTAGTTGAAAATAACCCACAGGTTGTTACCTTACATTATTTTGAAGATAGATCTGTACTTGTAAATCACACTTGAGTACAAAGAAGTCTAAAACTGTGTTCTTGTACCTTTGTGTCATACATCTGAATAAAACGAAAAGCAGATAGACGACCTGAAGCCATAAGATTTTTGAGAAGATTCTATAATTTACTTCTAATTTGTGTCTTGTGTTATACTGATGATTTTCTAACACAGGAACCTCTTGTTATTTAACAATAATGTGAGAAATCTGGTTTCTATAACTATTCAGCCAAGGCTCTTGATTGGTAGAAACTATTAAGCATATTTCCAATATATCTCTTTGGAATTTCCTCCCTCCCTTCCTCCATAAAATCTGTATGTGTAATAACTTAAAAACTGAAATATTTTCTTGTACTTTACAGCCATAATCTTGGCATGGAACTGATGGGTCTTCAGTTAGATTACTGGATTGCATCTCATCCTGTGGAGAAGAAGAGAGATTCAGAGAAAAGGGATCCCTCCACTGCCAAAAACACACTGAAATGCACTTTCCGGTCTCTCCAGGTCAGCCGGCTGCCCACAAGTGGAGAAACCACGTCCACCCCTACTATGTCTATGACAGTTGTGACAAAAGAAAAAAATAAAAAAGGTGCGGACAGAGAAAGTAAATTGATCTTTTGCTTTCTGCTAACAGTACTAAGTTAAGCATGTTTTCCAATAATGAAAGGTTCCTATCAGATCTTTGGGATTCTGTGGGGTTATTAGTATGTCAGATGCATTTAATGGCAACAGTCTCCAGCTAATTATCGCATTTTGTTAAGTGCATTGACGAAAACCTAACTCGTACTCGTGAAAAATTAATATTTGCAGCTACGCTTATTAGATCAATCTTCTTCAGAAAGGATTCTAGTATAAGAAAAAAGTAGAAGACCATTGTCCAACATGGCATACAGTTAAAGAGATCAAGGAGCACAATCTCAATTATTTTATCAAGATCGGAGCAAGAATAAACAGGGAACTTCCATATAAATATTACTAAATTCAAGAAGCAAAGTAGTTTGCAGATCAGTTATTCTCAGAATTCTGTCTACCTGCAAAGAAGCTAAACACTTCTTACAGACAAAACCGGGGCCTGTAAAGGATACAAACATGGCATTTGGCAGATAAAAGTTGGACAACAGCAATAAGCAGCAGACTACCATTCTTCATTCTTCAATTTTCTGGAAATATTGAGAGAGAACCTTGCACAGCATTAGGTTCTTGCCCCAAACCCATGGGCTCTAATCTCACAACTCATGAGATGTGTCCATAATATCCCTTCATGAGGACAGGATTCAGAAACTACAAAATTCAAATTAATATTTCTGAAACAGCAGGAAATGTATAGACCTGTTTGCTGATTTGGCAAGAGAATATGATAGATCACACTCACCCCCTCCTCTTTCTGGGTAATCAAAGCTGTTTTCTTAACCAAATTATAATTTGAAATTGATTCAGACCACCCAAGAATTTTGAAACAGCAAAAGCAAAACAAAATCCATTTGAGCATATTATCCCAAACAGTGGACGTGGCTCTTAATGAGACATGCCACGTTATCCCAGGATGTCTACGCCCTACACCACTGGAGAAATCCTACTGTTTAGCCAGTATTGCACCACTTGACATCTGCCAAGTAGCAGCCAATAATGAAAGGACCAAGGCATTGAGATCTCCAGACCTTGCTCTGTTCAGATATCATCAAGCATGCCAGTGAGTTAAATCATAAAATAGCTTCCTAAGATCTACAGAGATCCTCACAGGAACACATCAGTAACCAAGAGTCCAAAGTAGCAGACTAAAACCGGGAACATCAATCAGTAGCTGATACCAGATGAGAAACCCCCCCCCCCGGGCAAACAAAGAAGACTGGGTGACTTGGAAGGCACTGAACAGACAGCTCTCTAGGACCATGAGATGCAGAGCCAATCTTCAGAAATGGTGCTACAAAGTGGAGTCCTTGACATGCGAGTGTGGAGAAGAGCAAACCACTTACTACAATGCAGTCTGAGCTCTGCCACATGCACAACAGAGGACTTTCTTACAGTGACATCAGAGGCACTCAAAGTAGCCAGCTTCTGGTCAAAGGAAATTTAATATAATGCCAAGTTTTTAACTTTTTTGTGGTTTTTCTATAAATTATAACTGTATTCTCAATTCATTTCTGATACATTAAATAAATATTATCCCAAAAGGTATAATATTATTCCAAAAGGTCATGAAGAATTGGAAGCGACTAAATGAATAAACAACAAAACCCAAAAGGATGCAGTGATTACCAACCAGTCATTGGCAATCGGTATTGTGATTCACTCAGAGGCACTAACTGTGGCCTAGATCCAGCTTGTCGGCTTTCTTTTGGCAGATGATATTAGAGGAGTGGAAAGGAGTTGTCCAATAATTGCTTGCCCAATAAAATCTGATTACCCAGTCATCTTGACTACCAATTGTACTGGAAGCAAAGTGTTATCCAGGGTATAATGGATATTAAATTATTTTACTTTCAATGTGCTTAGAAATCATACAAGGTTTCCTGTATGCATGTATAAATATATGTATTCTGAGGGGGGGGGGCTCTATTGCAGGGTTGATGTAAGGACTTTTAGGGATGATCACATCAGGAGGAACAGTGGTATTGGTTGCACTCACTTAACTCTACCAAAATCAGTTTCTACCGCTCAGTTAATATCAGATCCTGTGTGCACGAATAAACTTTTTCAGGTAAACAGGCACAAAAGAACTCTGCTGATGGGGTTACATGTCTTCTTGGTTTCTTCTAGTGATGTTTCTGCCTAAGAAAGTAAAAGATAAAGAGTTTGACTCTAAGAGCCAGTGTATTGATGGTATCAGTCGTCTGATTTGCACAGCAAAGAATCAACAGAATATGTTGCGGGGTAAGTGTAAGAGTTCCAGCCAGATGTAGCCCCTTGGGCTCTTTTCTCAGGCCCTCTCCTCTCTCACCACCCTATCCTTCTTTCCTTCCTCCTTCCTTTCCTCCCTTCCTTCCCTCCCACTTTCTTCCTCCCTCCTTCCCTCCCTTTCACCCTTTCGTCCCTCCTTTCTTCCCTCCTTTCCTCTCTTTTTCTCCTTCCTTCCCTTTTGTCTTCTCTCTTTCCTCCCTCCCTCCATTTATTTATTTATCTATTTATGTATTTACCTGATTTATATCTCACCTTTCTCTACCCTGAGGGGGACTCAAGGCAGCTTACAATCACACCTCCATGGTACCTTAAAACAGAGAAAGAGATTAAACTGAAAAGAACTTCCTGAGACCAAGAGTTGTTGGAAAGTAGCGCAGGCTGCCTGGGAGTGTGGTGGAGTCTCTTTCTCTGGAGGCTTTCCTGGAGACACTGTCTATTGGGAGTGCTTTGATTGTGCCTTCTTGCACAGCAGGAGGTTGGACTGGGTGGCCCTTGGGGGTCTCTTCCAGCTCTAGTAGTCTAATATTCTGTATCAGAAATAGGTAATATGGGGTCTCATGGATACACTTTTTCTCTCCTCTCCACCATCTCATCCTGACCAAGGACAACCCTTTTGGGATCCAAACCTTTCCTGTCTTTCCTTCACTTTCTGCCTCCGAAAGTGAAGAGGAAGGGGAGGAAAGGGCAGGGAGGGGGCTTGGGGAGACGCCCCCCTCCCAGCCCAGCCTGCCCGCCCCCACTGCAGCCTTTCATGTGGCCCCCAAGTTAGAAAGTTTGCCCACATCTGCTGTAGATGCACTCTTAATCATTTAGTGTGCAGTGTTTTATTATTATGTTTTAGTTTCGCTTTAGTTATGTATGTGTATTCTTTCTGTTTCCTTTCTTCATTCTGAATTGTTTTTATTACTTCAATTGTGAATTATATTGTGTTAAAGCTAATAAAGAATAATGTAAAAATAAAGAAATAATAGACTATTTGAAAAAAAATCTAATAGAAACATATACAGCTGCTTCTTCCTTCAGTACAAGCTGCAGCCATCCACAAAGCAAAGCTTTCTTAACCTTGTTCTTTGTGTCTCCAAATATAGTGTTTATTGATGGAGTGGAATGGAATGATGTGAAGTTCTTCCAGCTTGCAGCACAGTGGTCTTCCCATGTCAAGCATTTTCCCATCTGCATCTTTGGACATTCTAAATCCTAATGTAGGATAATTCCTGTGATACCACAAAACATTGAGTGCCAGCTGTTTGCGTTCTCCTGTGTTATATGTCCTTGGATAACTGCTTCATTACTTTTCTGTTTGTCATTTGGCTGCAGGGGAATAATACTTGAAATGGCAGCAATTCAGTTTTAATTCTGGACATACACCTAAGCCAATTGCAGGAGCCTATGAGAACCACAACATAATCTCTGCTTGTTAATGTGGAAATAGCTGAATAGGGAGTGGAATGGGAGGTTTATTTGGCAACAGATTAAGAATGTTGGTAAAGTTATTCAAACTCGAAAGATTTCAGCTAAAGAGGAATCTCTGACTTTTCTTTCAGTCCCTTCAAACTGTTTTTCTTTTTATAATTCAAGGGTTTTCCAGAAAGTAAAGTTACAAGATTTTTTTAAAATATATGAATATATTTTAATAAAACTTACATGGATTGTAGCATAGCTATTACATTATTTTTCCACACCATTCAGTTCACTTCATTTTGCTATCCGTGGGACAAGTTTTTGATGCCTGTGCCATAGAAGTTTCCCTCCACCTTTTTTCAGCCAGTTTGTCACTTCGATTTTCACTTCATCGTCGTCGGAAAAGTGTTTTCCACCAAGGTGTTCCTTCAATTTAGTGAACAGATGATAGTCACCAAGTGCGGGATCAGAGCTATGAGAGGAGCGGCTTAAAACATCCCAACCAAATGAAGTCTACAAATCTTGTGTTGCATTAGTGCTGTGCGGATGCGTACTGTCATGAAGAAGACAGGCTCCCGCCATTAGCATCCCACAACGTTTGTTTTGGGTAGCTCTGCGAAATTCTTCATGGTCTCACAATATATTCCATACTCATTTTGTCACATGCTGTCTTGACATTACGTCCTCCCCTTAAACTGAAACAATTTCACAATGAATCGCAGCGATCTTCATATCATTAGCATTTAGCGTATTACAGCGCAAGCTTCGCACTTGGAGGGAAACGGAATGAGGTCACTCATCTCTAACCTTCACCATAAGGCCAGTCAATGAGCTACTGACGACTGGCACTGCTCGTTCATGCCCATTAGCTTCCTGCTACACGGCAGTGATACCAACTTCCGCCGAGAAAATTCCCAGTGAAAACTACGTGCGTTGTAAACTTACTTTCTGGATAACCCTTGTAACTTTACCTACATAAAGTATCTGATTTCCGTGCCCCACCGCATCTCCTGCTTTTTCTGTGGCATTGTTCATGTTATTATTAGCCCTTGGCAATGCACATTTTTCAACATTTAGAGATTGGAAGGAGTGATTGCCTTGTTTACATTTCATGTCTAGAATGCAACCAGCCTTATTTCCCCACATGGAGAAGATGGAATGAAAGGGGTTTTTGGAACAATATGAGGCTAGATAAGTTATTTATTAATGTATTAAATGTATTCAGTTTGTTCCTGGTTTTGTGGGAAATAACCATTATTTCCTGATTCCTGACAAGTGGAAGTAAGTTTAGTTAAAGGAAGATGTTTGAAACACTTCTGTCTTTGTCCCCAAATGTTCCACTTGCCAGAATTGGAATTCCTGTTCATTTGTTTGCCAAAACTCATCTGTGACTTGTGTGATTGGCCTCCTGCCTGATAAGATGTGACAAAGCAGGATATGAATTCTAAATCATGTGTGTTATGTATCAGTGGCTCCAGTATATAGCAGTGTAATCTACCATCAGTCCAGTTTGTGAGAAAGATACTACTGGAATGACCACCAGGTAGAATGCATGTTTGGGCTTTGTGTGTGTGTGTGCTGTCACTTAGCATGTTGCACTTACTAATCTTTCGATACAACCTTGACACTTAAATATCAGATACTACTTGTTATAATTTGTAAGCATAATGTTGCCAAATAGCGCCAGAGAAGCAAAGCTGGTCTTTAGCTTCATTTAGGTGATTTTCTTAAAACATCATACTAATATCTGCAAAAAAAAAAGGTCATATACAGTTCTCTTCATTGTTTCCTTATTTTGTTGAGGCATTTGTGAAGGCTCTTTTATTACAACCCATTAAAATAGGATGTTTGAAAAATATATTCCAAATATTCTCCCCATCCTCATGGTTTCCATTGGGACATAAGCTGTCATCTCTGGACTTAGATACTATCATATTTGAAAGGCAAAAGTATTCCACAAGTCTAAGTCTAGAGGAAATGTTCTTAGCTTGTGCCTTTCCTGCAACTAAGAGATCTTGGTTAAGGGATTTTTTTTGTCGTGTCAGGAGCGACTTGAGAAACTGCAAGTCGCTTCTGGTGTGAGAGAACTGGCCGTCTGCAAGGACGTTGCCCAGGGGATGCCTGGATGTTTTGATGTTTTATCATCCTTATGGGAGGCTCTTCTCATGTCCCCGCATTAGGAGCTGGAGCTGATAGAGGGAGCTCATCTGCGCTCTCCCAGATTCGAACCTGCGACCTGTCAGTCTTCAGTCCTGCCGGCATAGGGGTTTTACTAGGTCAAGGGATAAGTATTCTAGATTGTACCCGTATTTTGGGAAATTTCCTCTGAGCCTTCCTGCTTGGCCATAAAGACCCTCCTGCTGTGGTTGTTCTTCTTTTTACAACCTACTTATTAGTTTGTGGTTTTCTCATTTTTTCACCAGTTCCTTGTGGATTGATCACCATGAAAAGGAGCCAATAGGATGAAGTGTTGATTGCAGGGTTTTTTTCATATCAGAAGCAACTTGAGAAACTGAGATAATTGGCCATCGGCAGGGACGTTGCCCATGGGGCGCCCGGATGTTTTACCATCCTGTGGGAGGCTCCTCTCATGTCCCTGCATGGGAAGCTGGAGCTGATGGCCAGGAGCTTACCCCGTCTTGTGGATTTGAACTGCCGATCTTCAGGTCAGCAGTTCAGCCAGCACAAGGGTTTAAACCATTGTGCCACCATGGCTCCTGATTGCATGTTAGTAATAATAAATAGTTGGAGGGATTAATTGATATGTGGATGGGTGAAAAGCTCCAAAAAGAGTAGTATGTGGTGGATGCTGTCCTTCCTTGCGCCAAAATAAGAGTTTGTAAGCCAGGACTGTTTTTTTGTATAGTAGATCTCTCTTTTTAAAAATGAAAAGCTGCTGTTGAAGCCACTGTTGTGTAGGTCCTGAGGGGAAAATGATGTCTGTTACAGACATTTGTTCTATATTTTATTTTTACTAAAAATGCTGTGCATTACATGATTGCCTCAATTTGTGCTGCTGTTCTAAGAAAATAACACTAACTTTTTGTCTAAGAGCAACACTCTCTTCCTTTTTGACAATATGATTTAATTTAAGGAATTTTACTTTGTTGCTCTAGGATAGCTGCCAGTAATGCCTTGGAAAGAAGGCACACAAGCACATAATTATTTCTCATGAAATGGTGAAATGGACACATTAGATCTGAACAGAAGTTGCTTGACTCCCTCCTTTCTCCTTTATGCTTGTCCAAACGTTAATAATCCAAACACATTTCATCTTTACTCTGTCTACTCTCACAGAGCCCTGAACGTGCAAGCTGGGACTGAGATGGTGCTTGCTTTTCTTTGCAATAATATCATCTATCGGTGTAATTAAAGACTTTTATCTATTGTACATAGAGATAAATTGTAGCATGCCTGGGTCTTCCATACACCCTGTGACAACTGTCTTGCTCTTGGGCTGAATCTTCAGTTGTGAAATTTTTCAGCTGTGATTCATAATTGAATATTCTGTATTTCTGGAAATGTATGTTAGGTACTTTGCCTACAGACGTGGTGGGAAAGGTCTTCAGCCTGAGAGCACTAGATTCATTCCTACCTCATTCCCTTCCCAAATATAAATTTACATACCTTTCCCTAAACATTCAAGAAGCCAATAAGTACTGCGAATTTAGACTGTTGCCATTGCTGCTTTCATCTTGCCATGCTTTATTAAAACATAGGACAAACATACAAGAGCTGAAATGGTTAGGGTACCTCAAGCTCCTGTATAGCAGTGAAATATTTATATCTTCAGGATATGGAGAGCTGCTGATCAAGTGACTGGTAGTAGCATTTTTTTCCAGCAGTTGTTTCTCTTCTCATTCTTGATTTGAAGGTATCGGACAATATTATGCTACTTCATTATAAGAAAACATCTATATATGAATCCGTATAGAAAGGAATTCAGAGCAGGCGAGCAAGACTGGAAATGAAAACAGTTTGTATTTAATGCCAGCTGTTGCTGAAGCTCTCTGGGACTGTTGACCTCCAGCTCTATTTCTTCTATATTAATTTTTTTAAATGACAGTGGATTGGAGTGTAATAAAATTGGCACTTTCAGATTTCAACTGTGAAGATTTTTTTAAAAAAACAGCACTTTCTTATAACGGAAGTGGAAAATTCTGGAAGGTTAGGGAGCTGTATTAGATCTCCAGGAGACCTTGGAAGATGCAATCTCTCCATCACATCTGCTCCTGTAAAAAAATTTAAAGTATTTTTTTTTCTCATGTACGTTTGCATCATGTTTAAGGGCCTTTCTGGGCCATTTCAGACCAAACAGAATGTGGTCTGATGTCATTTCCAAGGCCTCTCCTGAACTTGATTTGTTGATTTGGGGGGGGGGGGGGGGGGGGGAGAATGTGATGGGAATGCACTCCATGATCTCTAGAGCACATCCGCTGGCAAAAATGGTTGGAAAAAAGTGCAAAAACGTTTTTTACCCTTGAGGAGCATGGGTTCCCTTTAAATATGGCGAAAATGTCCTCCGCATCCTCTAGAGTACATTTGGGGTCATTGTGAAGCAAAGGGTTTTATTTTTTAAAAACACTTTAGAGGCACTAGAGGTCACATAAAATAGCCCAGGGGCTCATGTGGCCTGCTCACCCTTTGCTCACCCTTGCTAATAGGAAAAATGATGTAAATTACATGTTAACATTATCATCTGTGAAGACACATATGTGGGTTTTCCTACATAACATATATTGTAGTGAAGCAATATACATAATGCTTTTAGCACAAGTAGAGAACAATAATTGAGCCAATAGTTAACAGGTACAGCCAGCCATATCAAATAAGGGTAAACAAAAAGATGTCTCCTGATGACAGTTCTCTTTGCCTCTTGTTGCTGCATTGGGTGGGTTTTGTTTACCATATAGAGGCAAACCAGCTCTCTTTCCTAGTCTTTGTGGCCTCAATATGAAAGGACTGCAATAGGATGCTGAAATGTCCCATACTGAAAGAGGAAACAGAAATTGCAGCACTGCTTGAGGGGGGACGGGACCTCTGAATATCTTTGAGGGCCTCTAGCAAGACTGTCTCCGAGACCTCTTTTACAGTAGTTCTGCTTTGAGTCATGCAAAGAGTTCCAGATGTTGGTGCTGTGGATCTATTGCTTTTCTGTTGTTGGGTTTCTCAGCGTTCTTTTTAATGTAGACACAAAATTAGAGGGAATGAATGAGATGTCATCAGTGTGCAAATATACTCAAATGCAGTTGCGGAAGTAGTGACTCTGAACTGATGCTTATACTCGTTCGTGGGCCAAATGAGGCTGCTAAACTGAGATTCAGTGAAGATATTTGTTCTGTTAGTAGAAAGTCTTTTTGCACAGTCAACCCTCTTTACATGTGTTTACACACCCGTAGAAAGGAGCAGGTTGTTCAGGGTTGCCAAATAGCCAGGTGTTCATTGAAGTCCATGTGGCTTCAGTGGCATGGAATGCTTTTTACTAGGCTTGACTGATGTATCAACAAAATCCTACTTTGGATAGAAAAGACTTAGCTATATACTGTTAGCTTGCTGCCTGAATTACTGCAATAACTTGTATGCAGTCTACCTCTCAAGATGGTCCCAAAACTTCACTTTGTGCACAATGGAGTAACATGGTAGTTCATAAGGATTTATGTTTCTGAACACAACACCTCAGTTAGCAGTTCCTAGATCTTATGTGAACTGTTGGTCATAGGATGAGCAAAGTATAGTGGAGAAAACAGGGCTGTGAACTCCAAATATTGCTGAATTGAAACTCAGTTAGCAATTCCTAGATCTTATGTGAACTGTTGGTCATAGGATGGGCAAAGTATAGTGGAGAAAACAGGGCTGTGAACTCCAAATATTGCTGAATTTCAACTCCCAGCATTCCTTAATAATAATAATATACTTTATTTATATTCGCTCTATCTCCCTGAGGGGACTCAGAGCAGATTACAGAATACATATATGTCGTTATACAATTAACAAAGTCAGACAATACATAGATAGAGGCAAGGTTTCCCTCTTTTTCATTTCTGGCATCTGGAGGCTGTGCTTGACTTCAGTTATGGGGAGGTGCTGTTGTTCCATTTTTCCATGCCGAAGAGCCTGTTGTCCGTCAACACCTTTCTGAAAGAATTGCTGGCATGTCTTCATGGGCACCTTTAACCTCCCCGCCAAAGCGGTTCCTATTGATCTACTCACATTATTGTTTTTGAGCAGAAGCTAGGGCTGATGGCGGGAACTCACCCTGACTCGCAAATTGAACTGCCATCCTTCTGGTCAGCAAGATTTTCTGCAGCTGACAGTTTAACCCGCTACTTGCTGGCTGGGATGCTAGGATTTGGTAATTTAGCAACAGTGAAGTTCAATAGTACACTTGCCCAAACTTATTATTAAATAATAATTCTTAGGATCCACAATAGTATAATGTGTGGCTGCCAGAGAAAGAACTTACTTTCTGGTGGTTCTCTTCCCATGGAATGCTCTCATGAGAAAAATTCACCAGATTTTCTCCTTGGTAGTATTTAGATGCCAAAAACATTTTAAGATTGGGCCAGATATATATAAAAATGTAAATAAATAGGTAGACATTTGGACAGAACTATAAACAGCAGACATTTGTTTTATTGCAAGCAGCCCACAGGTTATTCCAGAACAGTCCGGCATGCCAAAATCCTTCACCAGCTGGTTCAAGCCAAAAAATAAACAACTCCTCTTTTGTCCATGTTGGACTGATTCTCTGAAGTGAAGCAATACCATTATGGAAAGATGGGCTGCAATTCTTAGTTGAGGACTCCACAGACACCGCTGGAGGTTCTAGAGTTCTTCCTTTCCCAATGCTTTACTGGTGTGATCACATTTTCCATAATAAGTTCCAAAAGTCTGGTGTAGCTCCAGGATCATCTGCACTTTCCTAGAGTTTACTGTAGGTCACCACAGAAGCCATGCCTGCAATGCATTGGCTTAGCCTTGTGCCACTGTGATTTTATGTACGTAAATTCTTGTAGCATTCAGCCTAAGGAATGGGTCTGTTATGTCTAGAGACAGGTACTGAAATGAAAATCCCATGTTTTCTGTTTTGCCTATGTAGATATTTTTATCTGAAAAGTAATTTGTTCAGTAGCAAGTGTCTCATGCCACTTTATACACAAATAGAGCTACATTTCCATACACTGGAGTTGTCTGTATGGAGTATCTGTTCATTGGAAGATAGACATAGGAATATGGTGTGTGTTTGTGTGTAAAGAGTGGGACCAAATGGTAATAAAATGTAAGATTTCTGACTCAGTGTTGAATGAAAGTCAAAGGGATGAGATTAATCCCTCACATCAGATGGATGAATTAGTCCCACCCTCATGGTCCCCATGAGCAGGATGGCTCTCTTTCACAGCTGTAGTAAATGCTACAGCAGAAGAGTGGCAGTTGTGGTTCCCTGAAGTAACTTCATTAGTATCTTAGTGTGAGGCTCCTGCCTACTCCGGATTTCGTTTTCAAGTGGTCCCCACAGAGCAAGTTGTCATTGCATCACTCAGAAGAGCCCAACAAGGAAAATCCCTTAGATAGCTGTAAACTAGGCTTCACATCAAGGCATCCAGTTGTTGGGCAAGTAGTGGCAATAATGGAGGGGGAATGGATGGGAGGAAATTTTCCACCTTATTCAGTATTATGCCATCGCTTGAAGTATAAATATACATAAAACAAGCATGATGATATTGTTTGTATTAAAGTCCTTGTCAAAAACTACCTCTCCCATTTCAAGGCCATTTGGACCCCACTGATTGAACAGTATAAAAAGAATGGATTTAGTATCGAAGGTCCCTTCTATGCTGGCCTATATCCCAGGATGTGATCCCAGATTATCTGGCAGTGGAGATGCATATAATCGAGTTCAAAGCAGATAATCTGGGATCAGATCCTGGGATATAGGGCGGTGTAGAAAGAACCTTTGCTGCACTTTGTTTCCAAACCGCTTACTCAGAACAGTGG